TAACTTAACATTAAAATGTGAAGCTCGAAACTCGATTTGGGCTCAATTGAGCCTTAATATTCAGGCTCTAGCCCAATGTACGATCTAATACTTTCGACCTTGGTTCAATCGATTCCATGTTGTATTAGAAAATCATAATGTAATGCCAGAGACCGGTATTCCGCTTCAGTACTTTCGACCTGAGTGATGGGAGCATGGAGGTCAATAATGAGTTGTTTCAACCATAAGAGTTCAGCTGTTGTGTATGCCAGAGACCGGTATTCCGCTTCAGTACTGGAACGGGCAACCACTCTTTGTTTTCTGGAGGTCCAACTAATAAGATTATTACCATGGAAGATAGCATAACCATATTGAGATCGACAATCTTCCTTATCAGAAATCCAACCAGCATCAGAGTACGCGAGTAAGCAAGTTGCTGTAGTTGGAGTGAATCGCAAGCAGTGATTATTCGTGCCTTTTAGATATCTTAATATCCGTTTTGTAGCTTGCCAATGAAGATTGGTTGGGGAGTGCATAAATTGGCAGACACGATTAACTGCATATGCTATGTCGGGACGAGTAATGGTAGCATATTGCAGTGAACCGACCACTTGTCTGAACATTTTTGGATCATGAAAGAGATCACCTTGGCGATGAAGAGAAGATTGTGGATCAGCAGGTGTTGTTACAGGGGATGCTTTAGTCATATTTGTGCGATGCAAGATATCAGCAATGTAGTTTGCTTGAGACAAACTGATGCCCTTCGAGTCTCTAGAAATTTGTATCCCTAGAAAGAAATTTAGATCTCCTAGGTCTTTAAGTGTAAACACCTGATGAAGTTGATTGATGAATCGCTGAATTTGATCTGCTTTGGACCCTGTGATTATTAAATCATCCACATACACGAGAATATAAATGACAGATGTGGGAGAACAGTGAACAAACAGGGATGTGTCTGATTGGCAAGCCCTAAACCCATGAGTGACAAGATAATTTTTGAGTTTAGTAAACCAAGCCCGTGGGGCTTGTTTTAACCCGTAAATAGCCTTGTGTAAGTGACAAACATGATTGGGTTTGGATGGATCTTCAAACCCCCGTGGTTGTTTCATATAAACTTGTTCCTTTAAGTCACCGTTAAGAAACGCATTGTTGATGTCGAGTTGACGGAGACACCAGCCTTTCGATAAAGCTAGGGAGAGAACTAAACGGATTGTTGTTGGCTTGATAACTGGACTGAAGGTCTCGAAATAGTCAACATCAGCTTCTTGATTGAAGCCTTGAGCTACCAAACGGGCTTTATGTCTTTCAATTTTTCCATCCGATCGTCTCTTTATCCTGTATATCCACTTACAGCCAATAAGATTTACATTAGTAGGACAAGGGACTAAAGACCATGTTTTATTTCGCATAAGGGCATCATGTTCAAGTTTCATGGCTTGATGCCAACAAGGATGTTTGACAGCTTGAGTAAAAGATTTGGGTTCAAAGTCAGGATCGGAGGATATGATGGATGTGGTGAAGGTTTTTGGTTTTAAAGAGTTGATGCGAGCTCTGGTTTGCATTGGGTGAGTATTGTGATCAGCTGCACGATAATGAGATGTGGAGGGTTGTTTTTGCTTAGATCGAGAGCTGATGGTGGATTGTTGGTGGGAGGGTGTAGATACAGTTGGAGTAGGAGATGACGATGATGGAGGTGAGGGTGTTGGTAGGGAAGTAGGTGGAGGTGGTGTTGGTAGAGAGGTTGTGTGTGCTAAAAGGTCAGTGGAAGTAGATGAAGGGGGTGGAGGAGGAATAGAAGGTGAGATAGATGAGATGTTTGTATATGGAAAAACCTCTTCATTGAAGACAACATGGCGTGAGACATAGACGCGGGAAGTAGGTTGATGAAAACATATGTACCCCTTATGAGACGTACTGTACCCGAGAAAAATACAAGGTAAAGTTCGGTAAGTGAGCTTATTCTTGTTGTAGGGTCGAAGAAAAGGATAGCATAAGCAGCCAAACATTTTGAGGAAATCATATTGGGGAGGTTTGTGATACAATTTCTGATAGGGAGAGTGAAACTGAAGAAGAGGGGTAATGGTGCGATTATGGAGATAAGTAGCGGTTTTGAAGGCGTGTTCCCAAAAACCATGAGGGAGGGAAGACTGGGCTAATAGAGTAAGGCCTTTTTCAACAATTATACGGTTGCGTCTCTCGACTGCACCATTTTGTTCCTGAGTGTATGGGCAGGAGATTCGATGCTCGATGCCATGGTGGTGAAGAAAATGAGAAACATTTCTAAATTCACCACCCCAATCAGATTGCAGGCTCTTGATGTCACTATGAAATTGAGTTTTAACCATAGTTTTGAAATGCAAAAAAGTAGAGAACACTTGAGATTTATGAGATAAAAAATAAATCCATACGTATTTTGTGCAGTCATCGATAAATAAAACAAAAAACCGATTTCCATTCATAGATAAGAAGGGTGATGGCCCCCAAACATCAGAATAAATCAACTCAAATGGTGTTTGTGATGCAATGTGAGAAGTGGGGAGAGGGAAGCGACGACTCTTTGCTAATTGACATGATTCACAAACATTCGGGAATTTATTGGACACAACAGGAAGCTTAAACAAAGAAACTAAATGATGCAAAAGCTGTTCATGCGGGTGAGCAAGTCGTTGATGCCATCCATGAAGAGATGTCCGAACACCAGAGAGAGCCATGACAGAAGGCTGCTTATTGTTGCTGGAGTGAGGAATGCGATATAAGCCATGCTTAGTGTCCCCGCGGAGCATGGTTTGACCCTGAAAATTCTTGACAGCACAGTAAGTAGGCCAAAATTCCACAAAAGCATTATTGTCATGAGTTAATTTAGAGATACTAAGAAGGTTTTTGGTAAGTTTTGGAACAACAAGAACATTAGGAAGTTTCAGGTGATGCAATTTACATGAGCCCATATGAGAAATAAAAAGGTTTTTACCATTGCAACTTGGAGTTTATCATCTCCTGTATATTCAATAGCACCATGAAGTTTGTTCACATCCGGAGTGACATGATCAGTTGCTCCTGTATCAAAGTACCAGGAGGGATCTAAAACAGTAGAAGATGAACCAAATTGAACCAGGTGAGCTTGGCGAGACTGATCGCGTGGGTTAGCCTTGCGGGAAGGGTAGTCAGCTTGATTATTCCGCTGCCAGCAGTCAATGGCTTCATGGCCTGGTTTGCTACAAAGTTGACACATTGGTCGTCGTTTGCGATTGTCATTGTTGCGGTTGGGAGAGGAAAGAGGACCGGTATTGGAGGAATTAACCTTTCTTGGAGACGAGCGATTTGCAGAGTAAGCAGATGCAATAGAGGTAGCAGATACCGATTGGGAATTTGGTTGGGGTAGAAGAGCACCTTGACGAGTAATCTCCTGTTCCAAACGAGCCTCTTCTTGAAGTAGAAGACCAGCGAGATCATCAACTGAGATAGGATCAGGTCGCAGCATGACAGCAGTGTAGAATGGACCATAAGAGGAGTCGAGGCCAGACAAGATGTGACCAACAAGGTCCTCTTCAGATATTGGGTAGAGATTTTCTGCAAGGGAGTCAGCTATGGATCGTTTCTGCTGAAGATAGTCCATCATGGACAGAGAACCTTTGACAAGAGATTGCAATTGAACCCGCATAGCCATTCTCCGTGCCCTAGTGTGTGCCTGGAAGGTCTTTTCGATGGCTTGCCAGGCCATGTGGGAAGAGGTGGCACGAACAACGACGGCTAGGGCACTCTCAGATAAGGTAGATTTAAGCCAGAGGAGGACAAAACGGTCCCGTTTCTTCCACATGGTGAATTCAGCATTGGGTTCGGTGGTGGTAGCACCTTTATCATTGGTAACAGAAGTGGTTGCTGGTGGAGGGCGAGGATCAAGAACAAAATCCTCAAGATCGAATGTCTCTAGGGCTTGAATGATAGTGGACCGCCAAAAGGAGTAATTGTCACGATCGAGTTTGATGCTGATGGAGGGAATCTGAAGGTTGAGAGTAGAGGAACTGCTGATTGCAAGATTCAGGAGTGAGGAATTTGGGTGAGCCATTGAACAGATACGATTTGGAGAAGATGAGAGAAAAAAAAACTATGCGGCTCTTGATACCATGTAAAGGCTAACAAAGATTGAATTTCACTGTATTTGATACAATAGAATACATTGGTATAAATACAAAGATGAATGAGAAATATACGGCACAACTCAACTACATACAGAAGACTAGGAAAGTAGAATAGACTAAATCAATAGAACTCCTACAATAACGGAAGTATTTTACACGTTGTTATGTATCGGAAATTATGATATAACAATGAATTAAGGTGTTTATATTATAAAAAGTAAACATAAATTCATTCCGCGTTATACACAATTCAACAAAAAATAACATCGTTTTTTTAGGGATGCATTTGACCAACTCATTGGCCATAGGTTCATTTAAATTCTATCTATAATATTTTCAATGTTTTACGCATCTATAATATTTTCAGTGTTTTAAACCGTTAAGATAATGTGTAAAAACACCATATTTAGATAATAAATGGTGTTGAAATATAGTTACTTTAATTATAACAAAGGTGTTAACTACAGAACTTAGTCTTGGATGGAGATATGCTAACAGAAGTTTTTTTTCAAGACTTTTTCTTCCATTCTACCAATTTTCATTGATTGTCAATTTAATACACTTAGAAAATTATCATTTCACATTCGCTACTTAATTCACCAAAAAAAACATCTAGTTTATATGCAATTATGATAAGTACAACTTTAAATCGTACATATTTAACAAAACAGACACTTGTTCCTTGCTGTTTAAAGAATAATTAATGAACCATGACACTTCAATCGCATATACAAATCTGGAAAAACGAAAATGGAACGTAACCAAGACGTGTCATTATTGCAGATATTAATGTAGATTAACGTCCGCAAACATTCTGGCACGTGGATATACACAAACTGAAACTTTCTATATCCATTGAATAAACAGAACATTAATTCTTATGAAACACCATTTACAAAATTCTTTTCTTCAATCTTACGTAACTTGTATTCGATTAATCAGCACCAAAACATTTGAAATTTCTTATATGCAAGCAATCAAGTCTTCATACGTTCGCTTTAATCAACGAATCGACCTTAGCATCTTGTCGATCCATTATGAATGTAATCAAGAATCGCAATCACACCCACAACAAACGCTTGATCGATTCCTGCGTTTACTACCACATGATATACATCCTTCTTTTCCATCACATCCTTCATCTCCTTGCCCACCGTTACCTGTCATCATCAGTGTTAAAAAAAACAGTACTATGTATGCGAATAATGAGAAATGCATAGATTACGTACACATATGCATACCTGAGCAATGTCGTTGCCTCCTGAATCGACGATGCTGCATTCTCTGTCGGGGAAGTATCCCTTTACTTGAAAATTCTTGCAGTAGATGCTTTGATCCTTCTGTTCAATGGAAACCCTAACTGGTCTGTTGTTTGCTAAGCATCCTTTTGGATCTTTCAATGTAAAAAGCAACTTTTGATGAGATCCCACATAAGCTGGGGTGTAACTCCCCCATTGTCGATGGAGGCTCAATGCTTCAACTATGCCTGCCTACATAAAAAAGAATTCATGCAAAACCCTAAAAAGTATAGAAGCATCGTTCTTATTTGTTAAAATTGTAGGGTATGAGTTTACCTTTAGACGGATGAGAAGTAAAGGGTTTTGGTAAGCATCCGTGAGAGTCATCTGGTCCTTTTTGCCAAGAACACCACAGCCATCCACCCTGAACACAACCTCATGGCTAACCAAATCTGTGACAACAAAGCCACCACCACCGACAACATGAGGCCTTGATCGAACCACTAGAACAACCTGATTTGATGAACAGAACATCTTACTTACCACCGGCATCTCCTTAACTTTTGTACTCATTTTTCTTGAATCCGTTAAAAGGTTTTGATTTATAACAACAATATTAAAGATGAAGAAACAGAGAGATATGCATATGTATATATAGTATAGAAATCAAATGTTTGGCAAGTCTTTACTATTATATAAATGTGGCAATTTACATGTTAAATGCATGTCATTTCACTTGAGTGTGGGATACAAAGAATATTAGTATATAACAAGTTTGAATGTCCAAAAACCCGAAGAAAGTAATGTCAAGTTTTGAATAATATGACGTGGAAGCTTAATAAAGTGAGCCTATATTGGTCCTAAATTAAAGTAAGAATACAGTTGGATCATATCAACTTTTTCCTCGTGACTACTGAATATCATGCGTCTACGGTATCCTTAACTCGTTTTTTATATACATTAATATTTTTGTTACATAGATTAAATTACTTAATTACGCACGTCAGAAGATTATAATCCTTATCATTTGTTAATGCAAAAAGATTTTATTCAGTGGCGGAGCTACATGGGGCGTTGGAGGTACTACAACATCCCAAAAAATTGTTTTATGTATATAAATTTTTTTATTTGTAAACATGTTCCATGTTATTGTACTCCAAGCTAAAAAAAGAGATTGTACCATGTTTTTAATCCCCAAGATAGGATAACTACATAAAATATATATTTATAACGTATGTACCCAATATCAAAATTATTGGCTCCGTCACTGATTTTATTCAAATGGATCACTTAACGACATATTAAGATATAAGTAATTAAGACAACTAAAACCTCATCTTTCAACTTCTACATTTTAAAAAAAAAACCGGCAAATATATATATAAATAAGAAAAACAACAAAACCATGCCTACCAAGGATTTAGACGGGCGGGGGAAAATGAAAATACAAAGTCTTTATAAGCAAATAAAAGGACAACTACACCACTCAACCCATCTATAAGAACAATTTACCCTTTTGTTTTTCATCCACGTGAACACCATAGATATTATTTTTATAGCCACCAAAGTTGGAGAGATACAAAGAGTCTTAAAAATTATGTCACACACCGCTTTCCAAATCCACCAAAGGGTACCATAGAATATGCTAATGAGTGTATTTCTTTTTTTGGGCCATTTCCTCATTTTACAACAAATTTTATTACATCTCCAACATTTTCGAGTTGATGGATGGAGATATTGCATCATTTGAGGATTCATTCCCAAGGCGCAGTTGCAAATGAACACTTAATTAACACGTGATTCAACTCTTGATCATCTTCTTGCAGACAATATTCACATGTTGTAGCTCTGATATGCATTCCCCATATCAGTAGTTCACATGAAGTTGGGATACGTTCTAAGTTAGCTCTCCAAATGAAGCATGAGACCTTAATGGGAAATTCAATTATCCAATTAATAATGGCAGTTGAAAGAGAGTTCAGGGGGAGATCGATTTTTCCATATGATATCCACGTGAAATTCACCATCTTTGGATAGGCATCACATCCATTGATCATTCCTTGTAGACGGTTGGAAGTAGCTGCTCAACGAAGACTTTCGTATTCCTATACATGATTAGCATTAGAGGGAAGCAATGCCCACCCCCATGAAAAAGCACCCATGTTTACTCTATCAGATACCTTGCATCTTTTATTACTCTCCAATTGATACATTTTGGGGAATGCAGTTTTTAGAGGCCGTGAATCGATCCATCTATCAAGACAAAATAGAGTATCATCACCTCTACCAACTCGTTTAACAAAAACTTCATCAATATCAATTCTAAAATTGAGTAGATCATTTTTAATTTTTATGTAACACCCGACTAAAAATGAAGTACACCCCAAGATTTTTTTTCTTAACAAAAGAGGAAACTTCATATTAACCATCATACAAGTCAATATCATCTTACATCAAAAGAAAGTTATACAGGATTGAAATGCAGCCGAGTTTACAATTTTAACAAAACATATCATAACAAGTTTGATTATCAAAATATAATATGGCTACTTCACCATGCTCTTTCCTTTATTTGTGATAATTGTACCTGCAATAATAAAAACATTTAAAAATGGTAAGCTCGAAAGCTTAGTCAGTAATTAATAGATGTCAATTTATGCATCTTTTAGGGTAGTTTTTATTAGCATTTTGCATCATTTTTTTTATGCTTTTTCACGTGCATTAGTTTAAATAATGTTCAATTCATGTATTTCATAAGAATTCACATACTGCTCATGTTTTGGTATCTATTTCAGGTGATTTGAAGTGGAGCGGTAGTCTGAAAGTCTTTGGAGCATATATGGAACATAATTGGAGCAAATCTGCAGCTTATCTGGAGCCAAAACGATAAAACAAAAAACCAAATACGGGTTATGTCTGACCAAACACGGGTTGTTCTTCACTTACGAAACTTAACCGGAAGATTTCTGATTTTTTTAAAGGATTTTAAAATATCGGTCCTGAAGCATGGTGGTGCCTCCCAAGCACGGGTCGTGCCTTCCTCCTGATGTGGATATTTTAACTTACGAAGCCCAAGCACGGGTCATGCTTTCCAAGCACGAGCCATGCTTCCCCATCGATGTCTAGTTTTTGTAAGAACCCTTGTTTGCTGCCCAGACTGCTATATAAATACCAGATGTTGTCTCAGTTGAACCAGAGACGTTCCCAAATGATGAAAAACCATTCTGAAAGCGATTTTCTACTAATAAGTAACAAATATTTGATTGTTTCCATGTTGGGATTTAACTTTGATATAAATTGAAATTTCATACCTTTACGCTTCCGAGCGTGTGAGAAGTATTGAGTATTGCTGAGAATTTTACACGGATCTTAATGCAACTTTTCTGATCTTAATTAAGAGTTAGTTTAATTAGATAGTAAAAAGTTAGGGTTAACTGAAGAGCTTTTTTTGGTTAATTTAACTAAGTAAAAAAAGATTATACTTGAGCTTGTTAGTTTTTCTCAGTACCAACTTAGATAGAACACATTTTGAATAACCAGATCTAGGCTGATTGCATGACTAGCAAAATCACAGCAGAACAAAAATTGTTTTTATTATTGATTTAATTTAGTTTATTTCACTGCAATTTTAGTCTTTAGTTAATAATCAAAACCTTTTTTTTTATATTTTCTGTTCCGACTAGTATGTGCATTATACAAAGAGACATTGACCATTAGGTTGTGTCCCTGAGGATTCGACCCCGCTTCCCTATGGTATCCCATTAGTACATTTGAGAAGTGAAAATATTATTTGATTAAATCGTGCACGACGACAGTTTAACAAATCGGCGTCATTGCCTGGGACACGGTATCACAAGCTTTTGCAAGATTCCATTTAACTTCTAGTTACCTCATGCATAGCAATCACTCAAATTTTTTTGTTATCTCAGAATTCCTATCTCGGTTGGTAATGTAACTTCATTTCCTTTAATTTTTGAGTTCTAATAATTTGGATCTCGGAATTTCCCAACTTTTTTTTTTCAAAAAATGACCAAGATCTTCCATGCAACTTTTGTCTCTCATATTCATTCTTGAATTTTTGCCATCTCTTGAATCAATATCAAACATTACTGAAAAAAAAATTATTCTCGGAAGCATCCCATGTCATGTTATCTCGAAGCTTTTATAATTCAAGATACCTTCAACACAAAGTCACCTTGGAATTTTTCCTTGTTCCGAGACACATAATAAATGCGATTTTGAAGAAATTTGGTTAACTGTTCATTTCCAAACATCAAATGTTTTCTCAACAATTGCCTTCTTTTTCTCAAACAAACTTTTGGCACAAGTTCCAATAAAGTAATAAGTGCTTTTCTAAAAACGAACTGACAATTCTCTTCTTGTCCAATCACATTTCTAGTCTAGGACGAAAGCTACAATATAGGGAGGTTCTTCATAGCCTATGGATTTAATGCAAATCCGTTTCCGTGTTGGGTGTTATCATTACACTCTTCAACCCGACCTGAAACACCTTCCTATATAAGGGTTTTGAACGCTACTTTTCCCCCTTTCGCGCCTCCTTGTCTTCTTCCTTAGAATTTTCTCCCAGTACTATGTTCTTGGTGTTCTTCAAGCATTCATCAACTGCTTCCAAAATTTCCCAAACCTCTTCAAAGATCAAAACTTCCAAAGAATCTGCTTCACCTTCTTCGACTGAACCCATTCTCATAGATTCCACTCAACTCTTTTCACTTGATCCTTCTCATTATGATGAATCCATTCGAGTTATGGTTGAATTCATCTCTCATCATCCCATCGCCATCACTCTCACCAAAATCCATAATGCCAGTTTCCTACATCGGTTACTTTTCGAAGTCTTTGATAGTATGAAGATTGATGAAGGTGTTCTTCAATGCAAAATCTCTGATGATCAATTTGCTCCAGTCTCCAAATAGGTTTTGCTGCATGCTATTGGGGTTTCTCCAAACCCTATCGACTTCAAAGTTGTCAAACCCACTGTTGAATCATTTCAAGAGTTTCTCGGTCACATCAGTTACAAAGGTGATTTCAAGGCCAAGGAATTCAAGAAGTCTGTTGTTCCTGGCCTATGGACGATATTGATGCATATGATTGTTCGAGGGTTATCTAGAAAGCATTGGGGGTACCTATACTATGAGAAAAGAATGGCTATACATTGTTTATAGCATTTTTACAGGTCGAACCATTGCAGTTGATCTACCTGAAGTCGTGTGGCAAGACTTTGTGAAGTTTACTGAGAGAAGGAAGACAAATGAAATACCAAGTCCGTGATTTTGGGCTTTGACACTACAACAACTCTATCACAATCATCACAAAGCCATTCACATCACATCAGACACCTTTGAGATATTTTGTTATTTCAAAGCGATTAAGTCTTATAGGTTACCAAGTCAATCATCTTTTAGACCTATTAGACATCTTCCTCAACATATGGTAGATGTTATTCCTTCTGATTCTCCTCATAAAAAGATTCATCTTGAGATAACGGATTTGGCTATCCCACCAAATCCTCTCTGTGTCTCAAATGAGCAGCCATCGGAAGCGAACAGACCTAGGAACAAGAAGATCGATGCGAAGAGAAAAGGATCCCCACCAAAATTCAAAGCCATAAAGAAAGCAAAAACTGTTGACTCCTCTCAACAGGATTCATATATTGGTTT